CCAAATGATCAGTGTCGGGTGTTCATCCTTTGAGGCACACTGTATGAATGAATCCCTTTTTGCTCAGTATGCACTTTTGCTATCTATCCGTTAACTCCCACATTACAGGGATGTAACTTAAACATTTCTGGACATCCACTATTATCACAAGTTTTTCAAGAACAGCAATTATGAAAGCAAAGGCTTCCATCCAAAAGGAAGCCAGTGCAAGATATGCTAACTGGCTATGAGGCATTGTCCTCTGTACATTGCCGGCATCCAACAAAGTTCTCCACCTTCTTCTCTGTGGTGTCTGATAGATGCAAGACATCAGTTGAATTGACTCAGACTCTATTTTAAATCTACGGAAACTGTATATTTAGAAGTTCAGACAACTTTCCATTGTATAGAGCATTCCAAATCATCATTCTGTATACCTCTGACTTTCTGAATACCTGTATGCCAAAAGACACTTTGGTGGGGTTAACCATCTGTAAAGAACTGGTTTTGCCAACAGTGTAGGAAGCACCGAAGCACTCTGATGAGACTTCTAAGCATTCTTGCAAATGCTGCCACTGAATGTACTGCCAACTAGCAATAACCAGTCTAGCCAGTAACACCAGCCAGTAGTGCCAGCTAGCATTTATTTGTTTGTTTGTTATATTTGCATGCTGCACCATAGCCCAAGCACTCTCTGGGCAGCTCACGAGTAGTGTTTTGGGCAGACTAATTTACCTTTGTAACCTCTTCTAGGTCAATCGTGGGGAAGGGGAGCCAAGGACAAGTTTCTTGAATTGCCAAATGTACCCATGGCCCCATGTCTGCCTTTGCTATACCAGAACCACATGGGTTTTTGTCTTCTTTCCCAGTCAATTCATGCTTAGGTGGAAAAGTTGCTCAAAGCTGGTCCAGGTGGTTCCAGTATACACTTACTGCAGTATAGGATCATTCAATGCTGCAAAGCTCAGAAGTTTTCGAGCCAGGAAATCCATAAAATCAAAAAGGGTAAAATATTATGCTGTAATCCTATTTCACAGCCCTGCCTGGAGATCCTGGGGCTTGAACCCAGGACCTTCTGCATGCAGAGCAGGTATTCCACCACTGCGTTACAGCCCCTCTAGACTTCGCTACCCAAGCAGTCTAATCTACCTGATGTAAAGGATAAATCCCACCATCAGCCCTGCTGTTCCACACAAAAGGCCATCTCTGTGTTTTTAACACCAGGTACTTCCGTAAACTTAATTCAGTGTGAAAATAGGAATCAAACGGCAAGTGACGAGACATCGCATCCCAGCTTTTTCTCACTGCTAAAATGGTCAGTGGAAACTTTCCTTTCTTTTTGAAAAATACCTGGATACTGATACCTTCCAGCCAAAAGAGGCTCCTGACACTCTGTACAGCCACTGCTGCCAGCCAGTGCCATCAACACTGGGCTGGCTAGACCAAGGGTCAGACACAGCATAAGCAAGCTTGTTCTATGCCTAGGAAAGAAATACTCAGTTGGAGCAGCTGCTGCCTTTGGAAAAGCTTCATCTCCATTCGGCCGGTACATGGCTTCCCGTTCTAACACACAAGACACTTTTTTCTCAGGAAAGCTGCACTTCATTAAGTATTTTTAAAATAGCATTAAAGTGATGGAAGAGGCATTCTTCTTTTATATTGGTGTGATTCCCCTCTCTTCAGATGAATAGTCATAATCCATTTCTACCTACAAGATACACAAGGAAATATTTGTCACATTTTAGGTCACATTTTAAGGTCATGTTTGCAATCTTGTTAGAAGAACATCTTTGTTGTACAAGGAAGCACCTTCAGTCATGTCTTTGGTAACTGGAGATTTGCGGAGAATAATTTAGCAATCACTTAAGAAGATTATCTGCAGCGGAAATGGATTGTGATGTATAAACAGTGCTACAGGTCCATTTCATTTTTCTCTCTCTTCTTGGCCCTTTTCAACATAGGAACACTAGAAACTGCCAAATGATGCAGAGTCAGAATATTGGCCCACCTAGCTTAATATTGCCTGCACTGGCTGGCAGCGGCCTTTCACAGCCCTGCCTGGAGATGCTGGGGCTTGAACCCAGGACCTTCTGCATGCAGAGCAAGTGCTCCACCACCGCACTGCAGCCTCTGCTGTCATCTCTACTCAAGCGATCTAATCTACCTAACCATTGCAGTCTCTCTCCCACAGTTTCAAGTTAGACACTTGAGAACATGTTGGATCAGAGGAAAGGCCCATCTAGTTTGGTACCTTGTACGCACGACAGCAAACCAGTGGCCCACAGATCCCTCAAATAGGATGGGTGCCAGACCTCTGCCTGCCCAAGCTTGTCAGTATCTGGGATACACAAGCAGGCCGCGTCTGGTAAAGGAGGAAGCACATGGCCCACAAGGCTAGTAGCCTCCCCCTCATGAACCTCTCCTGCCCTTTTTAAGTGATCCAGATTGTTGGCATCACTATCCCGTTGAAGCGAATTCCATAGTTTAACTGTATCTTGCATGAAGAAGTACTTCCTCTTAGCTCTCTTAGACCTCCCATTAATCAGTTTAATGGGATGACCCTGTGTTCCAGTGTGATGGGAGAAGGAGAAAATTCTCCGCCTCTCCGCTTTCTCCGTAGCATGCATTATTTTAAACCCCTCTGCTATGTCTCTTCTTACGTTGGCAGCTGCGTTTCCCCCTTATTTCCTTTCAAACAACCGACAGTCATTTTTCTTAAGAGCTCTTTGTTTCCAATAGACAGCTGTAGCCACCAGAACAGAGTGATTTATTGGACCCAAACTGGAAGCTGTTTCCAAGCACCCTCCTTTTCCGTACCCTGGGCTCCATCCCTCTGGGGCTGCCCATCTGGAGAAGGGCTAGCCTCCTAGAGTTATGCAGGCCCTCTAAGTGGGTAGCCAGGCTCCTCCTGCTCTCCCATCCCCCCCCCCCACACTTCCAACCATGGTCTATCCAAACCCCTGGGGACAGCAGCTCTGAGATAAGCTCTCCTTCCTCCACCACCTCTACGTCCACACTCCTCGTTTCCCAGCCCTCACAATCCTCATCCAAAGAGTTGGTGCCAAGCAAAACTGCCTTTTCATTCTCAACACTTATTCACCTTTTTTCTAAGCTAAACAGTCCTACACAGGAGGACTGCTCCAGCCCTCTGATCCTTTTTGTTGCCCTTCTCTGTACTCCTTCCAGCTCAGTGATGTCCTTTTCCAGGTAAGGCAGCTAGAACTGAACACAATATTCCAAGTGCACTTGCACGAAATATTTGCGTAAGGAAAGTAAGATCTTGTACTGTTTTCTGTTCTGTTCCGTTCCGAACTACACCTAGCATGGCATTTGCCTTCTTCACAGCAGGTGCACGCTGGGCCAACGTTTCCCTCAAGCTGTCCACTGCTACCCCAAGATCCCTTCGTTGCTCAGTCACTGCCAGCTCCAATCCCATCAACATATACTTGAAGGTGGGATGTTTTGCCCCAACGGGCATTGCTTTTATACTTGCTTACCCTGAGCTGCCTTTGCCATTTTAATTCCCATTCTTCCAGCCTGGGAAGATCTGCTTGGAACTCCTTGCATCCTTTTTTGGTTTCCCCATCAATGACAATGGGAGGGAAAGAACTTAAAAAGCAGTGTGGAGGGCTGGAGACCTACTGGAAAACGTGGGCACAGGATCCAGCCCTTCATTGTGCATTCGAAACAACGAGGGGTTTCCAGAAGATTCAAAGCCCATTCAGGTTTTATAAGGGAATTACCACTATTCAGAGCTCTGCTTTTCAAAAGTATAATTCACTGATGAAAGTGTAAATTAATAATATAGCTGCCTTGATTTTCAAGTTGACCACAAAGGGTATTTTGTTCTTCTAGTTATAGTCACTGTTATATCAGTCAGTCTATATAAAACTTGCCTTTTAGCCCCTGCCTTCTGTCCCTACAGAATAAATAGTCAGTGACTGAAGCTTGACAAAAATTGAATTTCTTTAGAAATGCTTAATTTTTTCAGAATGCCCAGATTTTATTTATTATTCTATTACACATTTACTCTCCCATCTTCCTTCTGCAAGGGACCTCAGTGAATTTAGGCTTCCTGGCTAGTTTCCTTTCCAGGCATTGACCAGGCCCAGAAATCTTACCTTCAGCATGGTAGTCATATTGAATGCCTTTGTGCCACACTAGCAGAAAATTACTAATTCTGTCAATAGAAAAAACTATGTAGAATGAGTAATTTTTGTAGAGCTGCATAAGGAAACCAGGCATATGCATACATACATATGGGAGGCATATTAGGTTTGTGTATAGGTCCAAACTGACAATCTCTCCCAGTGTTGCATGTATAGCACAGATAAAATGTGTGCACACCTGTAGATTTCCCCTAAACGGCTCTTGATAGACCTTCTGATACGGTTCCAGAGGCCCAAGGTGTATTTCCCAAGGCCAAGGAACTGGAGAGATAGAGACCAGCTTGTTAGGTTTTTAACTTGGATCATTCTCTCCATCGCTTGGTGCTCATTAAGTACATTCTCTGCCCAGTGTACTAGCTATGTTATAAGCATGCTCATGTTGAAACTCATCCCTTTTCCATGTTTTTCCTCTCTTGCCATAAGTTGTCATGGGTATGTACTTAGTTTTAAGCATCAACTTAACATACAGTGGGCTTTTAGCAGAATCTCTGGCAACCTCATCATTAGAGGAAAAGAAAATTGGTCCTGACTCAGAATGCTGACACAGAGCCAGCTGAGGGGTGGGGGCTTGAGGCTTTCCATATTCTTTTTATGGGAGCCAGTCATCCAAAGTATCCATATTCTTTTTATGGGAGTCAGTCATCCAAAACAATTCAAAGGAGGGCAGACTAAAGTAAGTGGTAGTGCACAAAGACACAAAATTTGAACTTCTCCTAAAAGATAGCATAAAGGTTTGTTTTCAATAACGTTTCTCATTCAGAATCAGAATGGGGATCTCTTTCCCCCAAAGTTGCCCCCTCTCAAATTAGTTTGGACAATACGTTTTTTAAAACAGAATTTGGTTCCGTTTAGGAAGCCAAGGCATCTGTGGAGGAGACGAGAGCCCTACGAAGCCGAATCCATCTTGCAGAAGCTGCACAAAAGCAAGCACATGGAATAGAAATGGACTACGAGGAAGTAATCCACCTGTTAGAGGTAGAGATCGCTGAGATGAAGGCTCAGCTCGCCGATCATTGTGGCCAAAATAAAGTAAGCACCTCCATAGTCTCTCATTGGATTGCCATGGTTTCCTTGCTGTTCTTATGTCTCCTGTTTTCCATTTTTCTTCCATTTGTTCTCCTAAAGTAGGTCACAGTTTGCCTTGTATTATTCAGTAGCTGTGTGTCGTGTAGTGTGTGTGTGTGTGTGCGTGCACAGGGCAGGGAGGGGGCACAACCTGAACGTTCTGAACCTCCTTTTCTTGAGAGAGCTTTCTCGGTTGGGAAGACATGAACCGGAATGCTGTTCGGGTCATTGGCCAATGTAGCACAGCCCGAGCATAAATATTATAGAACACCGAAGATATTTAACTTCTCTTCTGTTTCCATTTGAACTAATTTATTGCATAAAAACTGTCTTGGATTGAACAGAGCATTCCAAGAAGTGGGAAATTAAACCCGCAATCCTGTACCTAGTGGGCCTTACTTCTAGATAGAAATGGATAGGTTTCTTTTTCAAGGGTTTCTAGATACCTTCACATTTACTACACCAATATTATGTTTTGATTTTTTCTTGAAGTTAGGGTGAAGGCACTATTGATGTATTACATTTCTATACTGCCTAGCAGCCAAAGATGCTGGATTTTGCTCTGTTCAATGGTTTTCTCATGTTTCTTAAAGATCCACGCATAGAAGACAGAAGCATAAAATACAAATTAACCAAATAACTTTAGATAGGTTTTTCTTTGAAAGATACAAGATATTCATATGACCTCAAAAGAGTGTTTTGAACTGTGCAGCCTTCAGCAAAATGTGGGGACAGGAACTAAAAGTGCCTGAAGGTTTTTATAATAATTTACTTTGAGTTTCAAAACCCATGTGGTGTTTTGGTTAAGAGCATCGGACTGAGGTGCAGGCAATCTGGGTTCCAGTCCCTACTTAACTATGAAGCCCAGTGGGTGAGTTTGTCACAGACAAGTCTGTGACAGATTCTCAGCCCAGCCTACCTCAGAGGGTCGTTGTTGTGAGGATAAGATTGCAAGAAGGAGAATTATGCGAGCCACCTTGAGTTCCTTGAAAGGAAAAAAAGGTGGCATATAACTAATAAATAAGATTATTAGAAAGGTTTCTCAAAGCTCATGTGCATGGAAATTTGAGTTATAGATGCTAATTCATTCATTGTTTTTTCAGTTATTTTAATTTTAATAACTATAGAATAAATTGAAAAACATGAGCGATTACACCACAGATTTGAAAATATGTATGTTCCTTTTATGTATAATACTCGTTTTCTTCCTGTCATGGGTTAGTATCCAAATGTGTAATCCCATTAATGAAGAATTAATCCCAGAAATGAAGTTGCACTAGTAGAAGGGACTTTTGGTGCAATGCCAAGTGCTAGTGTGTGCAGTGGGATTTCCAGGCAATCCCATCATGCCGGCTAATATTATTGGCGTTCATGCTAGAAGTCCTTAAACTAGTGCAACATCCTTTGCAGCAATGGAATGCCATATTTGGCTCTTTATCTTTGTGGTTTTCATATGTATTACATACAGTTATCCAAGTGAAAATAATTAATGACTCTTGAGATTATAGATATTTCATACCAGCTTTGGAGCATAAATGGAACTGCAGGTTTTCAGAAAAGATGAGATTGTAAGGTCCCTAGCTTCTGGAAATCTGATTCAGAGGCTGCCTCATCCTCCAAATATTTGGAGATGAAGCCATCTAACTGCCATATATTCAGATTTTCTGATATCTTAACTCAACATTTTCCTAGGTTCCAATGACTGCTAGAGTACAGGTGCAGAAGACACTTCTTCATGTGTCTGTATAAGCTTTGAACTGTCTCTTCTTTTAATTTATGCAACCATCAGCTTACATAAAATTATTTTGCCTTTCTTGATCTTTAAATTAATGGGCACAGGAAAGAGCTGTGCTCCACTTTTGCCTTGTGATTAAGATCTTCAGGGCAGCGACAAAGGGAAATAATTGATGCTCAGAAAAACAGCAGTAGCTTGTTGTCTGTTTTATAAAACCTGTTCCTAAACAGGCTTAGAATTTTCCTTTGGGTAGAGGAAGCTTTCCAATCAGACAGACTTACTGACGTTAAGAACAGTGGTCGATCTGCCAAAGAAAACCGCAGGTTGAACATGCATTTATATTTCCTGGTTTTCAGTAGAACATATATATATATATTGAACAATAAAGCTTTTTAACGTCTCTCAGTTCAGCTCTACTAAAACGATGAACTTTAAGTATGGTTTTTGCAGCGCGAAGTGGGGCCGGCCAACGGAAGCATAGCACTTAACATGGCTAATGTTCCCTTCCACAATCACGCACACACTAATCCCAACATAGCTCATTTCTGCATCTCCTACTTAACTAGCAGACTGGAAGAGTAAATTCTGGCTTTTGCATTCCCTCAGCTCAGCTTCAGTGGTCCCCCTTGGGTACTAGAATGCCCATCCATCCCTGCCTTCATTAAGCTCTAGGAGGAGAAATAATCATTCAGTGGCCTCTCTACTTTAAATAGAAAGGCTGATTTTGAAAACTGAGCTTGACAATCCTTATGAACTCTAATGATTTTCATCAAATTAGTGGCTTTTATTTACTAGGGAAATGTCCATCAATAGGGTCAGCAATGTCTATTTTTGCCCACAAAAATCAGAGGGTGCCATTTATTTCTATGGGTCAAAGTCCAGCAGCTGCAGTTTCAGGTGCGGCCATCACTTCTGGGGAGAACTTATAGCCTCACCTGAATGGGTGCTTCTTGTAGGAACTATACTTTCTCCCCCTACCCAGAATCAAATGGATGCCATGGACTGGGAGTGGACAATTTGTGCTCCTCCAGATCTTTTGGACTACAAATTCCAGCAGCCTGAGCTGGTATAGTCAAGGCGAGTTTAGTGTAGCAAGCACAGGCAGCAGTTCACTGTTTTGTAACTGGGAGGAGCTGGGCTTGAGGAGGGAGGGATCAGGTACACACGTGCCTAAGTCCATTGGCTGCCCCACTTGATCCCAAGAAGATTTCGTAAGGGTCGCCTTACATGTGAATCAACCCATCATGTTGTAGGCGTATGCCCTTGACTTAGTGACTATAGAAGGAACGATGGAGCAGATCGATAGAAATGTAGAAATATTTATGCAATATTTGAAAGCCTTAAAACTCTTGAAAAGAACCTCTGTGGCTAAAATTACCATGCGTTGTGGGAGAATGAGTCACCTTTAATAATTCCTGTATTGTGCTGACAATAGTTTCTGCAGGGGGTGGCGCCATTGATTAAAGTCTTGACAGGATGCAGGGAACAAAAGTAAACTATCCTTGCCAAAAAAAAAAAATTAAAAATCCTTCCACTTACGTTCAAAGGAAGAGCGAATGGCACCCCCCTCCGTAATGAACCACAGTTTGTCACATTACCTTCCCAGGCAGCTCTGTGGCTCCTTTCCAAAGGGGGGAGTTAGAGATTATATGAAGAAGAAATGCAGCTGCAGTGCCGTCCTGCAATACAGAATCTCTGGGAGAAACGATTGCCTGCCTGCATGTCACTACTCTGGCACTGATTTTGCCTCCTCTGCAATGGGTATTCTCCTTGTCCAGGCATTGTGCCTTCCCCCACCAGCTGGGCAGCCAGTAGTGTCAAGTGGGAGCAAGCACACATGGCAACATCTGGACATCCTCAGCATCATTAAAGTGTTTTTACCCCACTGCTTGGTTTTAAAAGATATCATGGTGGTTTATAAAGACAATACATCAATGCCTGCCATTAAGTTTACAGTCTACAGGACCGGACAGAAAAGAGAGGACGAAAACAAAGGATCCAGGCACTGGATCTGCTGATTCTGAGAAGTGTTCTTTCTGGCAGGCAGGGAGAGGCCATTGCCCTGCAGCTGCTCCTTCTCTGGCCCATGGATGGGGCCAGACTGGTCTTCCCTTTGCCATGATGTTCTTCCTGGGATGCAGCAGGAGCAGCCTCCCGGTGGCCCTGGTCCCCTGGCTGATGGAGAGGCCCTGGTGTGTGGCCCTTCTGCTCTGCAAGTCCCAAGGCAACATGGCGCCAGTCTCATTGCAGCAAAGGAGACAACTTAACCAGGGGCTTGTATGGGAGAGAATTTCTGACCGCATTCCTGTGTCTCCTGTAACATATTTATAGTTCTGCCCTCACTGGTTTACACGTAGACACCCTCCCCCTCCCCCCTCCCCCTCCCCCTCCCCCTCCCCATATATGTACATGTGTGCATGTATGTACTTTAAGCTTCACCGAGGGTTGTTTCAAACGCTGCTTGTCTCCTTAAGGAGTCCCAGCCTCATCTCTGTGTGCATTCAGATGGATAAATGCAACATGTGAATGAGGCAGTCCCTACGGATATAAGCTGCATTCATGGAATCGGATATCGATATTTGCATGTGACCATACAAGTGCATAAAAACAGAGAGTAGTAATCTGCATATGGCAAGTCCAGTTTAAAAATAAAGAACCATTAGAGAGACAAGCCGGCCCTTAAAGTTGCACTTGGATATGGCTTGGGCGGGCAGGCAAACATACAGGTCACATTAAGAAGTGCTATGCCTCAGTTTAGCTTATAAATCTTCTGGACCCACAAGATGTGAATAACTATAGATCAGTGGCCAATATTCCCTTTCTGGACAAGGTATTTGAGGGGGTGATGGCTGAACAGCTCCAGGCCCTCTTGGGTGAAATGGATCATCTAGATGCATTTAAATCAGGTTTCAGGCCTGGTTTTGAACGCCATGTGGGGTGAGACAGGGGAGTGTGGCTCTGTTTATTCTCCTGGACCTCTCAGTGCCGTTTGACACCATCGACCTTGGCATCCTTCTGGATAAGGCTGGCTAGGCTAGGTGTAGGAGGCATTGCATTGCAGGGGTTCTGCTCCGACTTGACTGGCTGATTCCAGAAGGTGGAGCTGGGGATTATTGGTCTGTGCCATGGCAGTTAAGCCATGGAGTCCTGCAGGGCTCCATCCTGCCCCCTACATCTTCATGAAACTGCTGGGAGAGGTTATCCAGAGGTGTGGGCTTCAGTGTCATCAATATGTCGACGGCACTCAGCTCAGCCTATCCTTTTCAGCTAATCCAGGTGAGGCAGTAGCCACCCTGAACCAGTGTTTGGGCTTGGCAATGGACTAGAGGAGGGCCAACAAACTGAGGCTCAGTCCTGGCACGAGCCAGGCGCCTCTTCCCAACAAAAGCAATCACTCCAGCAGATGCTACAAACGTCTTTATTCCAAACAGCTACAAAAGGATCTTGAAACCAAAAGCTACACAGTACTCACCGTCACTAACACACACAGGATAGAAAGTTGACCTCTCGCTCTGACTAACGTCACCCCACACTTTGCTTATGAACCCGCCAAGGGCGCACGCCCTGAGGCAGGGCGCTCTGAACACGCGTTTGTTGCCATGCTTCTGATCGAGACTCCAACTGTCCCAGCTTGCGAGTGCCCCTGCGGGAACAAGCATCCTCAGCCTCAAGCACCCCCTCAGCCTGTTCCTTATCAGCTTTGTTCTTACAATTCATATCAGTACCCAGCCCGTATGGGCCCTCGAAAAGTCTTGGTCCTGCACCCCAGCCTCGACCTCTGGCTATAAAACACCATCTGTTTTGACGCTAGTCAAAACATCTGGAGAAGGAGGGTGAGAGATTTGTACTGTTGTTGGGACAATGATTAACTCCTCTTCTCCTCCTTCTCCGGAGCTCTGGTTCTCATGAGAACCTCCACCCCCTTGTGCGCATGCAAGAGACTCTTCTGAGTGCGCGCACACGACAAGTCCCAACAATACGAAGATGCTGTTGGTAGTGGGTTGCTTGTCCAGCTGGGAGATATTCAAGCTGTCCTGGCCGAGGTTGCACTCCCCGTAAAGGGCAAGGTTCACAGTTTGGGGGTGCTCCTGGATCCAGAACTGTTGCTTGAGCTACAAGTGGACCCGGTGGCACAGAGCACCATCTATCAGCGTAGCCTCATATACCAAATGCGACCTGCCTGGACAGACAGAGCCTGGCGACACTGCCCCATGCGCTGGTAACCTCTCGCTTGGGGTACTGTAACGTACTCTGTGTGGGGCTGCCTTGGAAAATGGTCTGGAAACTCCAGCTGATCCAGAATAGGGCAGCATGGCTGTTAACAGGGACTGGCCTATGCGATCATATCTTGCCAGGCTTCTTTCAGGGGCACCGGCTGCCTGTCGAAGTCCAAGCCTGATCCAAAGTGCTAGTGTTAACATTTAAAGCTCTAAATGGCTTGGGGCCAGGCTCTATGAAGGAACACTTCGTCTCTTACATACCTGCCCTGGCCCTAAGATAATCTTTTGGGGCCCTTTTCAGGGAGCACCCTCTAACAGAAGTAAAGAGGGTGGCAACCAGGAGAAGGGCCTTCTCTGTGGAGGCACCCCTTTTATGAAATGAGCTCCCCAAAGTGGTACACCTGGTGGCTACTCTTTTTTTCTTTTCAGTACCAGGTGAAAACCTTTTTATTTGCCAGGTATTTTAATAAGTGACTGTGGCCACTGCAGTTAATCTAATGCTGTTTCTTGGTTTTATTGAAGCATTGCTTTTTGTTGTTGTTGGTTTGTTTATCGTCGCTGTTTCTTTTAAATTTTGCTAACTACCCAGAGAGCCTTTTGGCTATTGGGCAGTATATAAGTGTAATCATAAATAAAAGAATAATGATTTCTAGATTTACAGCTATTCATAGAAATAAGCATATGCACATTTTATGCAAGTCTGTGTCCCTTTGTCCTCTTTTTTAACAATTCATGAGTGGCCACCCTAGCAATCTTTCCACTTTTTCAAGTGGGAACTGAAAGCTCCTTGCCCCAACTTTTAAGTTCCCCTGTCTCCAGCTTCATGGTCAAACTGCATTTCTCTTTCCCAGGACAGCATCCAAGACTTAAGGAAGAGGATAACTGTGCTGGACTGCCAGTTGAGAAAATCTGAAACAGCCAAGAAAGGATTTGAGGTGGCAACTGAAAAGTTACTGCGGTTTGTTGAGGTACAGGCATTTTACCGCAACATTCTCCTTTTGAAAGGATCAAGGTCTGGTTAATTATATTATGTTGCACCAAGGAGTTGCACTGAAGGCATGTGAGGGCTGGAGCCAAACCGAATAAGTGAGTCCATTAGCTGTGATATACAGTATATCACAGAAGTGAGTACAGCCCTCACATTTTGTAAATATTTTATTATATCTTTTCCTGTGACAACCCTGAAGAAATGACACTTTGCTACAATGTAAAGTAGCGAGTATACAGCTTGTATAACAGTGTAAATTTGCTGTCCCCTCAAAATAACTCAACACACAGCCATCAATGTCTAATCCACTGGCAACAAAAGTGAGTACACCCCTAAGTGAAACTGTCCACATTGGGCCCAAAGTGTCAATATTTTGTGTGGCCACCATTATTTTCCAGCACTGCCTTAACCCTCTTGGGCATGGAGTTCACCAGGGCTTCACAGGTTGCCACTGGAGTCCTCTTCCACTCCTCCATGACGACATCACGGAGCTGGTGGATGTTAGAGACCTTGCGCTCCTTCACCTTCCATTTCAGGATGCCCCACAGCTGCTCGATAGGGTTTAGGTCTGGAGACATGCATGGCCAGTACTCACTTTGGTTGCCAGCGGTTTAGACATTCATGGCTGTGTGTTGAGTTATTTTGAGGGGACAGCAAATTCACACTGTTATACAAGCTGTATACTCACTACTTTGCATTGTAGCAAAGTGTCATTTCTTCAGGGTTGCCACAGGAAAAGATATAATAAAATATTTACAAAATGTGAGGGCTGTACTCACTTCTGTGATATACTGCATATCACAGCTAATGGACTCACTTATTCGGTTTGGCTCCAGCCCTCACAGATTTAAGCAAACTGCAACCACAAGGAAGCCCATGCCCAAAATTTTTGCAGGACCTAAGGGGTGAGTTGGAGGGACAAGAAATAACTGAGGGCCAGTTAGGGCATAATATAGGTAGTCTTCATGTTTACATATATCTAATTATATTTAAGATTACTCTGTCAATTTAAATTTTAAAACTGTTAAAATAAGAGCTTAACTGCAACACCTTTGTATTTACTAGACAGGCCAGCAGAGACCAGGATCAGATCTATTTTTCTCTTTTCTCTCACTGAACATTAAGTAGAATGCCATTGTAACAATTTTCCTGCTCTGTCCACAAGTAAAAGTCTTAGAAACTTCTATATGTATTAATAAAAACTGACCATTGAATGAAAGGCTCTGGAATTCCCCGGGAGCAGCCAGGTCCCCTGTGGCAGCTGGTCAGCAACTGAAATTGTGCTCGTATTATAGTGGGCCACTTATCCGGTGAGGTGGTGGGTGCAGTACCAGTGCTTTTTAATTAGCTCCCATCATCGGTCAGCTCTCTTGGACCTCCCTGCTCCCTCTGAGTTTAACTTCAATCCTCACAGTAGATGGGATGAAATGGATTTTCCTAGCAACCATATATTGTTCCCTGTTGAAAGGCAAAGTAATTTGCAGTGGCTTGCTCTTGCACGGGCAATTAAAACCCAAAACCTCTTCTAGTGGAGAGGGAAACAGCTAGAATGATGTGTCAGTCTAGATGCTCCCTAATTTTAGAGAACTTTCTTTGGGGTCATGGCTATAGGGACTGTCATAACCAGCATCTGCACTTCAGTTACCACTGCTCTGTCATGACAGCCCCCCTTCACTAGCCCAGTCTGCACAAGCATAGCTATAGAAATAAGCTGCAGAGACATATTTCCCCCACTGCCTGTGCTGGTCAGGAATCAGGATTAGCATGATTAGCCTTGCCTTGTACCAGGGCTAACAAGTCACCCAAGGGCCCTACAACAGTCCTCGGGTTCTGGGTGTCTTGTTAATCACAGTAAGAAGCCCCCTTTCTGGGTTCACATGACTTAGTTGGCTGTGCTCCAAGGATGGTTATGTTCACCCCACCTGCCCCCCTCCCTGCAGAGGGTGGTTAACAAGCTACCATATTAATAATTACCCTGAAACTGTGTGAACCAGGTCAGTGTCAGGTCATAGAGGTCTTCCTTATGTGAGCATGATACGACAAATAAGATGTAGTTAGAAAGTATGTGCATGAGCAGCAGGGTGGAGAAAGAATGCCATCTTGCCAGTATCCCCTTCCTGGCTTAGCTCGTGGGCAACAGTGCAGGCACATGTTTGTTTTGACTGCAAAACACGAGTAGCCTGGGCTATAGACACTGGCTGCTATGGAGCATAACATGCCAGCTATAAGGTGGTTAGTGACTAGTTGGAATTACTCCTTGTAATGGCCAATGGAATCACAGCCCTCCATAGGCACTCAGAGGTTCAATCTGTCAGTCCCTGGGAAGGCAACTGGAAAATTCAACAGCCCTTAAGATGAACACTAGCTTTGCAGCTTATTATAGCAGCATATGAACTGGAGCTGATGGGGTCACGTTCCTGTAAGTGCGAGATAGACAGATCTGTATGCTCTGTCAACTGGAGTCTAGGTTTAGGGCGAAAAGAGAAGAACATGCTGTACCAAGTATTTGCTGTACCAAATGTTCAACTTACTTCTCTTTGATAATTTGCCAATAGGTTCTACCTGAACTGCTGTCAGATAACTCCACTTCCCTGACCAATCTAAGGTAGGGAAATCTAAGACATTCAAATAAGTGCTTTCAAAGTTAATTTGATGAAATCATTATGAATGAATCGAGAAACAGTGATAAGATGGGTAAATCCAAGCAACTGATTCTTAACTTTTGGCATCATATTTTTACTGTTTGTATGGCTTAGTCCCTTGTAGTACTTCTGATCTGCAGAAAGTTTTATCATCTTTATGGTATTACTATTCAAAAAGTCCTACCTTGCTAGGATAATTAGTCCTGTTTCTTGCCCACAGAGAACAAAGGCTGAGGGAGGGTAACTTGCCCATGGCCACAGAGTGGCATCTGCAGCAAGGGTAGGGCTTGAACCTGGTTGTCTAAGGTTCAGTTACAGCTGTCTACAGCATCACAGTTGCTCCTGATGAACACTAACTTGGGGGATATTGAGAACATGAAGTTAAACATCCCATTAATGACCCTTTTCTATACACATTACCTTGCAGAAGTATGCAGCCCCTTTGACTATTACACATTTTGTGGAGTTACGGCCAGGAATTCAAATGGATTCAATTGACATTGTTACCTCTTGATGTACACAAGATACTGGACACTGTGAAGATGCACAACATTTGTATTGTGGTGCAAAAGTTACGTAACCAAAAACAGACTTGAACTTGCTGGTTGTGTAAGCGTTCATCCTCTTTGCTGTGACATGCCTGAATAAGCTTTGGTGCAATTCACTGATCCTGTGCTCAGTGAAATGAAGTCCACCTGTGTGCTATTCCAGTGGCACCTGATCTCAGATGAATTACACCTTTTTTCTGGAAGGCCCAAATCTTCTGGGAGAGCATGTCTAAACAAACAGTGCCATGAAGACCAAAACAACCATGCAATAAAATTGTGCAGAAGCACTAATCAGGGTTGGGTTATTTAAAAAAAACTATATATAAACCTCTCCCAGAGAGTGGTTAAATCCATTAATACAAATGGGAAAAGTCTGGCTTAACCAGGACTGCCTTGCTACCATATGCTGTGTGTGGTACAAAGGTAACGGTGCTCATTGCTGTGAGAACACCATTTCTAATGAGAAGCTTGGTGGTGGCAGCACCATGTTGTGGTCATCCTTTTCCTTGCGAGGACCAGGAAACCAGACAGGATGGAGGGCAAAATGGATGCAGCCTAATATAGAGGGATTCTAGAAGAAAAGCCTGCAAGGGGCCTGGGACTGAGGCAAAGGTATACCTTCCAGTAGGACCATGCATTGAGAGCTAGGTTTCCTTCCTTTGCACATTCAAAGCCACGGCCTTTCTTGCAAAATGTCCTTATTGACCAAAGAAGTAAAAACACACCCAGAATGAGTCTCTGAGCATGCACAGAGTAGTTGGTTGAGCCCAATCTGGTACTTACTTTTAGGAATTTTCCTTATGTTTGATGTTTGAGGGGCCTTTTGGAAGTGAGGCCCGCCTCCTTTCTGCATGCTGATCCTTTGATTGGGCTGCTCTCCTCTGCTGGCAGTGGGCTGCTGACGTTTGATTGGGCTGCTGTCCTTTGCTGACACTGTGTCATGGGGTCAAGAGCCATATCCACCTCAACAGTCTTTGAAAAACTCCCCTGTTCCAAGCCTCAGCTATTCATCTTGGTTATTCTCAGAAGCTGTCTGTGCAACTGGGGTGTCTGGCCTTGAGATAAGCACCTCTGCTTCTTTCATCTCAACATCTGGGATTGGCCCTCCTTTCCTCCTCCTCCTTTTTCTCTGAGTCCTAGAAAGGAGGCCTTGGGAATGCACACCAAGAGCAGCAGTCCTTCTCATTCCCAACACAATGACCCGCAACACACCACCAAGACAAGAATGTCTTAGCCCAGTCAAAGCTCAGACTTCACCCTATTCAGAATCCATGGCAAGACTTATTTCTTTATTTAAAACTTTTTAGACCATCCCTAACCATGGTCTTGGGATAGTTTAACAATAAGGCAAAATGAAATAAAACACAGCATTCTAGAATCTACAATAAAAACCATATTAGAACAGTCAAACCTTAAAGACTTAAGGTTTTAGCCTTAAAAAAATGTTTTAGCCTGGTGCCAAAAAGAAAAAAAAGCATTGGTGCCAGGCAAACCTCTCTGGGGAGTGTATTCAACAATTGGGGTGCCACTGCAGAAAAGGCCCTTCTCCAGGAAGTCACCCTCCTAATCTCCTTCAAGGAGGGCTCCTGGAGAAGGGCCTTTGCCCCAGGTCTTAAGGGGCGGGCAGGCGGGCAGGCACATATGGAAGGAGACACTGCTTCAGGTAACCAGGCAGTTACGCCTGACTGAAAGTCATTGTTCAAAGGTCCCCCATCCAACCTGACAAAGCTGGAACAATTTTGCCTGGAAGAATGGCCAAACATGACAAGATCCAGGTGCTCGAAGCTGATAGAGACTTACCCAAGAAGACTCGCACCTGTGCTGGCTGCCAAAGGTGTTTCTACCAAGTGCTCCTGACTCAACCAGTGAAGACTTGTGCCACCAACAAGTACCAGTTTGGTTTTGTCCACTTTACTTTTGAGCCTCAGCACAAATGCTTTGCACCTGCAATATTGAGTGTCTTGTGTGCCTCAAGTGGAAACAATTCCAATTAAATCCATGTCACTCCCAGGTTGCAACAAAATGTGGACAAGTTAAAGGGAAGTGAACACTTCTGGAAGGTGCTATATATATAATAGATGTATATTTTTCTTTATTTAAGCATTCATTTATCCCAAACATTTTCCCCACTCTTCAGTCAAGGCTCCCAGAGTGCCTTACAAAGGTCAGAAACAAGACAGACCGTGCCTGCAAACTTAAGATCTAGGAGGCACAACAGAAAAGGAAATGGGATTGAGAAAGATAAGGAAGAAAGTAAATTCTGCTTAGTTGCAGAGTTCAGCAGAGCATGGAGCTGGACCTAAACGTTATAGAAGGGCTGATGCCTTTTAACTAGAGGAGCCTCCTCCTTTCCATACACCCTACCAGCATTTTCCCAGATGAAAATCAAAATAAGCAGCCCTAACTTCTATTGAACAGGGGCTCACTGTTGGGGTCACACTCCCCCTAAGGGACACGGTCCGTAGACTGGATGCGGGTTTGTCCCTGGAATAGCAGGTAAACTCAGTGTCCTGGAGTGCTTTTCTTCAGCTGTGGTGGGTTTACCAACTTCGTCCATACCTAGACAGACAGAGCCTGAAAACACACTGGTATCTAAAATAGTTCACTGCAACGCACTCTACGTGGGGCTGCCCTTTCCAGAATCGGGCTGCTCAGTTAGTGATGGGAGCTCCTAGAGCGGCCTATATAATACCTGTATTGAAAGATCCACATTGGTTATGAATTGTGGGTTGGGCCCAATTCAAGGGGCTTGTGTTAACATATAAAGCCCTGAATGGCTTAGGCCCCAGTTACCTCAAGGAGCACCTACACCCGTATATGTCTACCCGGTCTTTGAGATCTGTGCAGGGGATCCTTCTGCGTGAGCCACCCCTATAGAAGTGAGAGGGGTGGCTGCTTGGAAGAGGGCATTTTCTGCAGCTGCTCCCCATATTTGGAATGCTCTCCCCAAGATAATTAGCCTGGTGCCTTCTTTATATTCCTTTCAGTGCCAGACAAAGACCTGCCTTTAAAACAGATTAATAGTTGATGCCACTAAACCTCTGTTTTTGAATTTTATCTGTATTTTATTCCTATTGTATTTTTAAATTGTTGTGTTTAAATTTTATTATGGTTTTTATCTTATGATTATGAGCCACCCAGAGGTGCTATGGCACAATAGGCGGCATACAAATGTTTTAAATAATAATAATAAAACAACAACAACAGTGTGGCTTGTCTGGAACAGACTGGCCTTCTAGGTTCCTCCCTTGAGGTACCATTGTGACATGGGCATAACTGTAACTGAAAACGAATATGGATTTGGTGTCATGCACAAGAGTGCTGCCCAATTACAAATAAAACATTTTGGCCTTTTCCATGTGCCCCATTCAGTGATAGAAAAGCCACCTTCTCTTCCAAAACACTCCTTGCCCGGCTAGGAAGGAATGGCCGCACAGTCACAGCATCCGTTGCAGCAGAGGCAAAAGAACTCACTCGATCTGTCCGCGCCATTCTGGAGGCAGATTGTGAGTATTATATGATTTTCCCTTTCTTTTTCCTATTTTTGTTTGACAATTCAAAGAGGAATGTTGTTTGGTTAATTGTGGGTTGTGTCCTGAATCCAGCATGTGGTTTGTCAAAGAAAGAAAAACAGCAATCACTGAAATGTTCAGATGGCAACAATAAATGCAGTAATCCATATAATTCTAGCATTTATACTTTGGAACTATGAATTCAGTCATTGAAATAGAAAAATGCTGGTATGTGCAAACATTCTTGTTTGATAATTGCACCTATTCTAGGATGTAGGATTGTTTAACTTCAGACATGCAAAGCAGATTAAAGGCAAAGGTTGAAAAAAGCTGCCTGTGATTCAAATAGAAGGAACATCCAGATCGTATGCTACTTATCCCAAGCGGTTTTCCTACCTATAAGATGATACGCTAAGAACTACTTAGTGCACACCACCATCAAAAGGCGATTCTGAAACTTCCAGTAACAAGGCAGCGGTTGTCCTTTCTATGATAAAAAGTATGCTGAGGCCACTTAGAGTGATCCTGAAGTTGCTCCCCAAGTGACCAGATATCGACATAATGTCATAATGATTTCATAAAATCTGGTACATAACACCTAATAACTACTCACAGTGATTAAATTTTAACATCAAATGATAGTCACAAATTAAAAGCAGCCTCAATAATTTACGCATACAGTTTTTATGCCTGAACAGACATTAATTCATCCCCAGTAAAGAAAAGTGTTTTAATTGTTCCTGAGCTTTTTCATTTTATAAATAATAAAAACTCATTTTTTCTATAAAGAGGGGCTTGGTTATCTCTCTTCTTCAGCTATTAGCATGTTCATCAATGAGACAACACAAAAAAAATTAAAAGTGGGTTAACTTTCCAAGCTCAATCTGATGGCCAGTCAGAATGCTATTAAGAGATATAGCACCATTTTAATGTTCTCATGAGTAACTGTGCTCTCAAAATATACCAAAAGAACCCCCCAACCCCTCCCCAAAACACCCTTATTCATGTGTTTTTAAAAAGTACATTTCCTCAAATGGAACCGACCTCATTCAGCACTGAGGATCATAACCATTGGCCATGTCCAAAAGATAACTACTGTTTGCTCTTCAAATATGAATCCTCAGTATGCTTGCAGAGCCTGTTAAATCTAGCCACTGATACTCTCTGAATATAAACCTTTTCTATGCATAATCCGTTTTCTGGGTGATCTTCCCAATCTGCTCCCATATCGGCTGCTCACTGTTCCTTCCAAACGCCTTTTCCCATTTGAGCTAATGACTTTTTCTTTACTTCCTGTTTAGCCAGGCTTGCTTTAATGTTCCCCTGGGTGAATGGCCTGTAATGATCATTTCAAATTTAGGATTTAGTTCCAAGAAACCATATTTAGGGGGGCAATCCTTGTGCCCTCCATGTTTATATGGCTCTCACCCTGGAGAATCTCAGGCATCCACCATAGAGCAGTTTGTACTTAAGTCTGATTCCTAGTGAAAGGTGTGACTCTAATCTTATCCAGATTCTCTTTTCTGCAAAACCAAACAGTATCTTAAATATAGATTGATATTTTATGCTGTTCTATATTTGTCCTCTTATCCAGTATGAAACATGTTTTTAGTAAAATCAACATGAATCTGTATAATATTTAATACATGGGAATGCTATGCCACCTATATTATGCAGTGTTGTATTTGGGGAATTACTCTAGTGAGTTTGTTGCTCAGAAGAAATGTTGGTTTTTTTGCCATTTAATAATAAACAATGAACTACTCTGTAACAGCTTGTTTAAAAATAGAAAGAATAATCCTGGTAGAATAGTCATTTTGGTAATGAATATGCATCCAATCCAGGATATTTATAGGTGTTTCCAACTTTCAAAATCTTAGTGGACTTTTTCTATAATTTATTTTTGTGGAACAAGATATTATTTTTGGGACAAGTGTGGCTCTCTATCGTCCCAAATATTTAACTGTGTAATCTGTTCATGTGTTCCTTATAAATTCTTCTCCCCTTTTCCTCCAAATTTAAACCAGCTTACATACATACCCTGAATTTTTCCACTATTTTCTACCAGATCTAGCATTTTCCTGAATCACTCAGCTGATTTTTTTTTTAAACTGGTGGTATGTCACTGGCTTAAAGATTACCTTTCCACTCCTTTTGCCCAAATTCTACCCCTTCTCCTGCCAGTCAGTCTTGAAATTTTAACAACAAAAGGAGTCCATTGTATATTCTACCTCCAAATTTGAATGTGCTTCTGCTATCATTTGTGAATGGATAAGGGTGTGCTTTGACATTTGCATCTGAGGACCGCTGCTTTGTTTTAAAAACTGTGGGCTGCTCTGTTTTCCTATATATTTTCTTCCGTGTCTAAATTAAGAGCCTGTTACTCAGTCAGCTGGATGATTGGTGCTACTTTATTCTATGAGCTTATCTTCTCTTTCTGGCAAATCTCAGAAAGATATTCAATATTAGTCTGTTGCAGCAAAAAAACAAAAAACAAAGAGGCCTCATTTGGACATCACACTTAATCATGGCAGGCGCTAAGAGTTTGGGAGCTTTCACTTCTGGTTAATATTAACCACAATATATCATGTTATCCAAAACTGGCATATTGTAGTTAATTTAGGTACGAATTGTTTAAAATAGACCAACTTCAATCCATGAGTTATGTAGCTGGCTTATTTCAAGAATTATAGTTAGTATTAACTACAGTTTATGGTTCAGAGGACACACTAAACTGAGGTTGATTGAAATAAAAAGTTTCTGAATGCCTTTCCGTGGCTGCAGTGCAGGAAGAGAAAGGGGAGTGTATGTACCTGAAGTTTGCTCTGGCTATGGTTTACCGTAGTATCCTAATTCCGCCAGATTCTCCAAACACTGGAGCAGCAATAAGAGGCAGGCCAGAGGTATAACTAAACCCAGGGAAGGATTTGTTAACGTAATTGCTCATAGCTACGTGACGGTAACTCTCCTGCCCTTATTGGGCTCTCAAAAATCTGAAAAGTTGCTAATTAGTAGTTCTCTGAAATATGAAGAAAGGATACACAAAATGGCTAGTATCTGATTTTCTTGTGTACTAGCAAGACCAACCATTAACGCATCAGGAAGCTAGTGGAACGGCCAGGAACAAGTGGCAGTCTCATTTCTGAAATGAGGCAGGTCAGTGGAGCTCGCAGAAGGAGCCGCTGTTCTGCTGTCCTGCCCTGACTGGGAAATGAGCATCGCCCCTTGTTTCCAAGCTTGCTTTAGAACTGCTACCTTTCTAGTGGGCCCTTCTTGTGCAACAGATGGAGCAGGAGGAACTCAGTGGCACTATTGGATACTACCCAATCTTAGCAGAGTATGCACTAAATAATAAACATTCTTTTACTTAGCAACTGCCTAAAAATAAAGCATCCTTTGCTATCACCCTTTTGTACTGAAGAACATACTATATTTACACAGACAGTCAGAAGGAAAACAGTGCAGATTGTATGATGGTTTTAACTGATTTTTTAGAGAAAAACCCTGTTCTGCTGGGGGGGAAATCTACCCTTCTAAAATCTCTACCCTACCAAAAAGTAAAGCTAGAGAATATTCAGGGTAGGCCTCCTATTAAAAAGCAACTCTGCCATCTATTATGGATGACATTCTGAGAAGTGCTGAATAGACTTGCTTTGAGCTGTTCAGGAGTTGCTCAGTATTTCAGGCAGGGATGGTGCGGCCACATTTCCAGGAAGAAACATGTATAATTGGCATTTCTGTTCATTTACACGCCGCACCATGCATGCACACACGCACACCCTTGCAACGGGACAGGAGTGTGCCATTTCCAGCTCTACAGATGTTTTGGACTACAACTGCCATCAATCATAATGAGCACAGACAAGGGTATGGATAATGGGACCTGTGGGCCAAATCAAGTTGCTCATTCCTGTTATAATAGGAATGATCCATTTTCGTTATGTTTGGAGGCTATGAGTAATTGCATTCATCATATTCTTGACTCCGCTGAGAAACATAATAGTTGACCTTGTTTATGTAGGCTAAATGAATTTTCCGACTCACTGAAGGTCATATAATCTATCATAGCAAAGGTTTTAATACTGATAATTTTGCCAGAGAGATAAATTCCATGTAATACAATCTGTAACCACTGTGAATGTTTTGATTCAAAACTCGGTCAAAGCAGGATGTAGGCCAAGTGGTACTTCCATAAGATAATGGCACGGATGATTCCTGCAACTTAAGTCAGATTCTCATGTTCCTGTTCATCATGGCTGTCACTACAAGGCAGTAGTTTCTTTGTGGTGACACAGAGCATCCGACTGCATTGGACCGGCACCCCTAGTCCATTTGGAAGTGGGCTCATGGTTGAAAATGCTCCCCATGGAACGTAGCTTATGATCAGGCTAAGCTTCAAATTAGTCACTTACCTTGTCAGATTTGGGTTATTTCCTTACCTTCTATATACAGGACTGCATAAAAATGTACCCAATATTCAAATGTTGTCAAGGTTGCATAACATAACAGTCGATTTTGGATCAGAGATTCATTATGACAAGCTAATTCAATTTGATAACAGTTTCTGATCCCTGATATATATATATATAGATAGATAGATATCAACATGTTGCAGCTTTGGAAGTAATGCATAATGCTCTAAAAATAATAGCTAAGCCCTGTTTTCTGGCAAAGGTTCTCTTTTCTGGATGAGGAGGGCTGTGGAGGGAGTGTGGATGGAAATGTTCTGTCGCATTAAATTACTTCCAGCAGACTGCGCGAGAAGTCGAGCAAGAGAAACCTTTAGTCCTAAATGCAGCTGAAGCCTCACATCTGGTTGTGTCAACTGTAATAGGTAGAAATTGGTCTGAAAGCACTCGAGCTACAGTATGGCTCCATTTGTGAACCTGAAAGTTAAAAATAGGTTGCATGGAGGATTTCAAGACTGAACACCATCCCTCTGTGTTCATTTGGACTTGGAGGAAACAGCCTGTGTATATATGCAAACTCAAGTT